CTTTAGCTTAATTTTTTATCGAAATCAGCATACGTAAACTGCATGATACAACTTATGCGACTGTTACAGTGCTTTTATATCTGCTAGGTCATTTTATATATCCTAGTACATGGATGTAGTACTTTGAAATAGTGTATCACAAATTTTTCTTCGGTGAAATATGAAGTATTTGATAGATTTCTGGTATATGTTCGGCCTCAAGTAGTTACTAGATAGGGCTGGATGTGACCTAATGGTTAGTGTGTCCAGCTATCGGTCGGAAAGTCCAAGGTTTGAGAATGCCATATTCCGCTGAATGCACTCCGCACTTGCAGCTTTGGGCGAGTTATAAGGGTGTAATCCATTCCACTATTCGATAAAGAACAGTCAAGTAGGCGGTGGGTGCGTTTTAATGGTTGCCCTCCCTCTGGTCAGCAATTATAAATTAAGGATGGCTGTTCATGAATATTGGGATGTCTGAGGCGACCGTTTAACTTATGCGTCGCATAATTTGCCATCTAGGTTTAAAAATTCCCATTTTACTGACTAATAAGTAAAGTACTAGATTTTTTTTATTAAATTAAGTTGATTTACCTGGTACTGAAACTATTGTAAAATGTAAATGCAATCGAAATGCTATTCAGTTCATTATTATAAAAGTGTCTTAGAACAACAAAGACTGTAGAAACCTGGTTTTATTTCCTATCCGTATTATATATATTTGAATTTCTGCATATGTAAGAAACTTGTAAAATATAACATAACAACCGTGTGTAATTTCCATTTGAGCTTATAATTTACTCTAGCTTTATGGGTTCTAAGAGGGGAAAGGACGTGAAGTACGCACAGGAGAATTTGTGTGAATGGAGATTCGGGCTCTATCCTAAGAAGGTATACGTTCGCATTTTTGCAATGCACCTGTTGCTTAATTCTAGTGTAGTTACATCCTAAGGAGGGCTTGAATCCTCAAACATTCGAAAATATCGGCAGTTAACTTAGAAATTACAACCCAATCAATCAATCACACCTTTCCGTCTTATAGTGTAATTTCACAGCTGGATCGCAAAGTAAGCTCTTCCTTAGTGGGAACGAATTGACTCAAACAAGCACTGAGTCGACAAGGTAATCGATTCATCATTTTCACAAGTGATTTAAGTATTTCAAAACACGAAAATGTTAAGATATAAAAACTGGACTCTGTATTGTTTTATGTTATGTAGCTTGTACACAAACACCGGCAAGTCACGCAGTTGCAGTATGGCACTTTTTAGCGCTTTGTTCGGATATCTCTATTAAAAGCCCATTCAATGCACGGTGTTTTTCTGTCTATTTCTTATTGTTAAACACGTTGTTGTATAAAAATAGGGCTAACACTGCTATTAGTTAGATCTTAAACATTTTTTAAATATCATTATATATATATTCTATTAATATTTTATCTTTAAATTCTACTTATGAAAAGCAACAACAAACTATCACTTTAGTACATAATTCTGAAGCTACCTTATAATTATGCATTTTTTCATTTAAAACGATTGGTGGCATAAATTCCACACAAAAACTAACTGTGAGATAATGACCATTTATCCACGTTATTACACTTCCTATTAGTTCCAATAAGCTAAAATTCAAGCTTAAACACCTTCATCTCAGAGTTTAGTTCCTTTGTGATCAGTATGGATAGCCACATTAACTGATGGGCTTGATTTCTTAGTGATCAGTATAGATAACCACATAAGTTGGTGGATTTAATTTATTGGTGATCATATCGATAGCCGCATTAGCTTTTGGGCTTGGTTTCTTAGTGATTAGTATGAATGGTCACATTAGCTGGTGGCTTGGTTTCTTAGTGATCATCATGGATAGCCACATTAGCTCGTGACATACTGGAGTTGATATAATAAATAACAGTTGTATCGTGACATACTGTAGTTGGTATAATAAATAAAGATTTTACTGGAACATACAAGAGTTGATAAAATAAATAAACATTATACTATGACATACTAGAGTTGATATAAAAATAAAAATTTTACTGTGACATACTAGAGTCGGTATAATAAATAACGCTTGTATCGTGACATACTATAGTTAGTATAATATATAAAGGTCTTATTAAGGCATACTGAAGTTGATAAGATAAATAAAAATTTTACTGTGACATACTAGAGTTGATATAATAAATAACGGTTTTATTGAGATATACTGTAGTTTATATAATAAATAAAGATTTTATTGTGACGTACTGGAGTTGAAATAATAAATCTAGATTTTACTGTTACATATTGGAACTTATATGATAAATAAATATTTTATTGAGACATACTAGATTTGATATAATAAATAACAGTTTTATTGAGACATACTAGGGCTGCTATGATGAATAACAGTTTTATTAAGACATACTAGAGTTGATAATGAATAACGGGTTTACTGTGACATATTAGAGTTGATATAATAAATAATGGTTTTATTAAGACATACAAAAAATAGTCGATAGCGTTATTGAGACAAACCAGAGTTTATATCATAATAATTGTTAGTTTTGTTTTACCAAAGAGAGTATCCTAATACCTTCTTGTGTTATTAAGACATATAGGAGTTGATGTCATAAGAACTGTTGGATTTATTGAGACACGGTAAAGTTGATGTCGTAATAGCTGACTGACTTATCTGGATGGAATTATGTATATAACTGGCTAGAAGTCATGCTGGCGATAGCTGGAAAATTCTTAAATAATCTCTCTAAAACAAAACGGCTATAAATACATTTTGGATTTTACATGGTCTTCGGCATATTTCAATTTTCCTTATATTCGCCTCACTAAACAAAGAACTGTGCATTGTGACATTCATAGTTCTAATAGCTGTGTTGTTTAAAGTATCTGCCCGCATAAGGAGAATCATAGGTTTGAACCCTGCTCAGTAGTAGTAGTTTTAACTTTTTAAGGAATATGTCTGTTTAAGTTCAGGTAGAAATACTCAGCTTAAATAAATAAATATATATACTAGAACTAGTTTCAAAAGAGTCAAGACCTAATTGTTGTAGTTTGTCAGCCTAAATAAGTAGGTTTTCAGTTAGGGATAAATCTTGTCTAACATTACTGCGTTTGATAATTATCACAAGTGTTTATGTAATTTCAGAATGTACAAGAGCTTTCAGGCATGACTGACTGCCAAGTGTTCGGTGTTGTGTGTAGATCATATAAAAATACGCCTTATAGACACACATCACGTATATGATACCACAATAGAGTAGACAACAGCTGTTTGAAAACAGTTTAGGTATACAAGTAATGAGGTGTATTCAATTTTATAATCGTAGTGATTGTTGTATTGTTATTTTTGTTCTTTTACAAACTAGATTATATTATCCTCAGACCAATTGCTCAACTCTTACAAAGTCATCTAGTACGATATTAAACCCAGAAGCTATGGGAATATATTAAATACAGAAGCTATGGGAAGGTATTAAAACCAAAAGCTATTCGAAAATATTAAGGTCAGAGACTACAAAAATATATAAAAGCCAGAGTCTACGTAAAGATATTAAGACCATAAAATTTAATAATATATTAAAACCAGAAGTTATGAAAAGATCTTAAAACTAGGGGCTATGGTAAGATATTGAAAGCAGAAGCTACGAGAAAATACTAAAACCAAAAGCCGTGAGGAAGATATTGAGATCAGAGGTTATGGGAATATATTAAAACAAAATATTATATGAAAACATTAAAACCATAAACTGGTAAAATATTAAAACCAGAAACTATGATATGATATTAAAACTGGAGGCTAAGGAAGGACATAAAATTCAGACGCTACGGTAAGGTGTTAAAACTGGAGGCTATGTAAATATATTAAAATCAGAAGCAATGGTAAGATGTTAAAACTGAATGCTATGGAAATATATTACAATCAGAGGTTACGGTAAGATGTAAAAACTAAAGGCTAATGGAAGATATTAAATCCAAAAGCTATATTAAGATGATAAAACTGGAGGCTAAGGGAAGATATAAAATGCAGAAGCTATAGCAAAACGTTAAAACTTAAGTTTGAGGGAAGATATTAACTCCAAAAGCTATGATAAGATATTAAAACTGGAGGCTAAGGGAGGATATATAATTCAGACGTTACGGTAAGATGTTAAACCTGGAGGCTATGGAAAGATGTTAAAATCAGAAGCTTTGGTAAGATGTTAAAACTGGAAGCAGCTGTAAGATATTAAATCCAAAAGCTATGGTAATATCTAAAAACTGGACGCAACGGTAAGATATTAAAACTGGAAGCAACTGTAAGATATTAAATCCAAAAGCTATGGTAATATCTAAAAACTGGACGCAACGGTAAGATATTAAAATCAGAGGCTAAGATAATATGTTCAAACTGGAGGCTAAGGGAAGATATTAAAATCATAAGCTATGGTAAGATATTAAAACTGGAGGATATTAAAAGATATTAAATCCAAAATCTATGGTAAGATATTAAAACTACAGACAACGGTAAGATATTAAAACTGCAGGCAACGGTTAGATATTAAAATCAAAAACTACGATAAGATGTTAAAAGTAGAGGCTGACGGAAGATATTAAAACCAGTTTTGTAGCAGAGAAAGCCAAACAAAACTCGTAGCTGAAATTTAATTTTGAACCTCATCATGCTGAACTATTTTTGCTTCAATAACTAGTGTTTAATTTCTGTCACCTATATAGGTATATCTCCAAGTTACTGTTTAATAACTGATTTAATGTTGGTCAAAAACTAGAAGCGAGGAATTGCCTTTCCTGTTATATAAGCTTTATATAAAGAGGAATTTAAAGTGTTTTATAAACTACATCCTATACATCTCTACCTAGCTGTTTATGTCAAAGAGTCCTGCTTTTGAAAGACAGTAAAATCTGTACGGCATCAGGATCAGCATTTCAGTATAAACATGCATACGGTATTTACGTATATATCTGAATAGCTTTGTTTAATAGAAGCTTCTGACATCAATATAGTTCCTTTCTCCCTTCCGCCAGCTCTTCCACCTGTGACTACCAGAAGGATAGGTCATCCATACCAGAATAGGACGCCACCAAAGAGGAAAAAGCCCAGAACGTCCTTTACCCGAATGCAGATATGTGAACTAGAAAAACGTTTCCACAAACAGAAGTACCTAGCCTCAGCCGAAAGAGCTGCGCTGGCCAAGCAGCTGAAGATGACGGACGCACAAGTGAAGACGTGGTTTCAGAACAGGAGAACGAAATGGAGGTACGATATTCAAAATATCTCTTGCATGTCAGTATAGCCATGATCAGAATAAATAAGATAAACATAAGACGAAACACGTGATAATGTAAGCGCAAGTTACATTTCATACTTAGTATAAGTTTTACATTTTAGTTAGCGAGTTCTATTGTTACACGTATGCACGTGACCAAGTCAGGTACGCTGTACGATGAGTATTTCAAAGTAGACGCGTAACATGAAAGGTATTTCTTTGATAACATAAAATTGAATAGTATAATTTTTTGTTTTTTCTCTTGCACGACTTTAAGCGTCTCTCATTGAAAGCGTTGAGCGTTGTGTATATGTGATTTCATCATTATGCAACTATTTCATCCAGTTTTTAAGTAGAAAATAACTTTAGTCATCAAAATCGTTAGCTGGAGGTCTCCCTTTCTGAAAATTTAGGTGTTTCTATTTAGCTATGCAGAATTTCTGTAAGACGTTATAATGAATAGAATTTGTATGTGTAGGCTACACGTAAAAGTAAGCTCGTTTCTTACTTGTACTTAATACTACCTAATAAATGATAGCTTTCCGCTACTTAACATGTGATATAACCTGATATCAATGCAAATTACAGTTCCGAAGGGAAGTATACAGATATAAAATGCGGAATACTATTTCGCAATCAGCCCAACACGACCTCCATTAACTACTCCATTACACGTCTGGTAATATAGAGGCATTCGCTCAGGACTACTCTGGAATGCGGGTTCATTTGAATTCAGTATATTCATGAGCTATTCGTAATCCAGTAATCTATGGTAGAACTCCTTTTATCAAGTTTACTAAAGGTTCTGGGCTTCATTACTTGCGGAATATTTCAAAGTAGCATTAACTTTTAGGGAAGGATATTTGTCAATAGGAAAAACAAAATTTCGTTGTTTGATCCAATGTGGGCGGAAAGAAACAGAGCATGTAATCGATTATCAAAGGTCTGAGTATTGGAAGGAGAACTGAAATAATGAAGGAGTATAGTATATATATATAGTTGGCTGTTTTGTATTATTCTTTTCATCCAATAAACAACTGTTTCTAATATGAAAGTAGCTTTGCTCTTTCTGTATAGTCAATATGTTTTCACTTCATACATAATATAGGGGTTGTCTCCCTTAATATACCGATTGTATAGTGTACAAATAATTGAGTATCTACATGTTACAGTCATCTAATGTTCATCTATTATTGGCTGACAATTCCCGTTTCACCATGTACTCAAGCTTTTTAAAGGAACACTAGATGTTTGTAATAAAACTAACTTTAAGGGGTAATGATAACATCGTTTACACTAGAATTATGATGTTTTTTTAGTTTACGTAAAATATAGAAGAAACAAATATATTTTTCTATACCCTTACGACGTTCGCAGTACTTTATTTAGCATTTTACAAGAGGTTTGGGTACAATATACCAAGCCGTTTTTGTTGTAGGTTGGCAATAGGATAATAAGAATTACAAACTGTCTGTTTTTAGCGGGTTATCTTTTCCTTGTAAGTCTAACATGCGTGCTTTTTTTTGTGCATTTGTATATGTGTACAGCCTTAACAGTCAATAGTAAATGTTTTGAGGTGTTGTTTGAACTGAATCTTTATTGTTTAAGATGCTTTTTGCACGAACATTCTATTATGGATTTGTGCAATTCTTTGCTATCCCTATTATGAACCACTGTCGTAGTTCATGATAATAGACACATTCAACTCGTCAGACTTTGTTTTCTATGACGTTAAACATTATCAACTATAAGAGTTAGATTTTACTCCAGCATGACATTAGTAACAAGCTATTTCCACAATAGATGTCAGTGGGTTTATTATTAAAATGTTACACGAAAACACAGATTGGTTTTGCTACTGGATTCAAACCAGTCTAAACAAATAGTCTTATCATCTTTTTTTACACCCCTTCTTAAAAGAATGTTTATAGTTGTAACAGTTAGTAATTTCAATTTTTTATAAAGATTTTGTTCAAGCGTTGCTATGCTTTTTTAGAAAATATCTAAAAATAAAGTTTTTCGAATTTAGGACGACTCCTATTTAACTAGGAAAACAATATAATATCGCCACAAATAACCTTGTACGAATATTGAGATTTTAACAATATGTGATAGAATTGAGAATTTCTTTCGTGACTGGCGTATTTTAATAGTGTTTTCTTCCATTGTTGTGTTCATTCTTCGTCCCTTTTATGTGAGGAGAAAAGTTTTATTAACCCCAACGAGTTCATTAAGCTGTAGTGAAACAACAGCTCTCGTTTTTTCAGATGTTATAAAGTTACATTGACGAATCGAAGGTTCGATAATTTTCTTAATAGAGATTGGCAGCCGATATTCACCAAAATCTTTAGAAAAGGTTTCGCTTAAGATGATTTATTTCTGGAAAATTCAATGGTGCGATTCAATGTTAGACTACACATCCTTGGTTGGGATGTCTTAATTTCTGCTGTAGGTGAATGCTACGATGCTTCTCCAATTTACACTAGTTATTTACATGACATTAAACATGGAAGTACAATACTGATGAACATTGACACCATATAAAGATACTTTGTGTGCTTTGTTCGCACCCTCTCTGAGTAAAAGGAAATTTTTGTGTACTTTGTTTACATTTTCTTCTGATTAAAGAGAAATAGTTGCGTACTTCGTTTAAACCCTCTTCTGATTAAAGGGAGGTGGTTGTGTAATTTGTTTATTCTCTCTTCTGATTAAAGGCAGGTGGTTGTGTACGTTGTTTACATTCTCTTCTGATTAAAGGTAGGTGGTTGTGTACGTTGTTTACACCGTCTTCTGATTAAAGGGAGATAGTAGTGTAATTTGTTTACACTCTCTTCTGATTAAAGGGAGATGGTTTTATACTTTGTTTACATCCACTTCTGATAAAAGGGAGATAGTTGGTGGTAAACAATATTTCATATAGAACCCTTTTGAGGTTCTGCCTAAGCGCGTGACAAGTTTGTTTCTCCAGATGCTTCCAGAAGCATAACATTATCATTTACGAACACATCTTAATTGCAGAGCGACATAAATCATTAATAATTAGAACCGCATTTATTAACAATGATTTCTGACAGAGTTAGGAGTTAAAATTATTGATTTTCAAGTTCGTTGTTTAACTAAAATATGTAAGAAAATTTATCACGAGAGCCAATTGAGGTGTGTATGTGTAAAACCTGAAAAGAAACGTATGAAAACTGAAAGTATTTTTTTCAGGGTTACCTAAAATAATATATTCTACATGTCGACATGAAGGATTCAGAGTCCAAAACGAACTGAAAAGTTTATGAAACATGTTCCATGCACCACGATTTTTTTTAAAGCTACTCCTAATCCTGGTTGTAACATTTTAAAAGTACAAACTTAGACCACCATTGTTCGTTGAAGTCTGGCTTTGTGGCCAGATAAGTTTTATTGAATTCAAGTGTCATCATCCTCAGTGATGATAGAAATCGGAAAGATTCCAATATTCTGAAAGGTCAAAGATAAAATTTAAGTGAGTTTAAACCGTTCTTTGTCTGGTTTTACATAATTGACTGTTATGCTGCTAACATTTTCTATCGTAATACTGGTACTGTATATCGCAGTATCTTTTGTTTCATGCAAACACTTGTCATGAGTACCCACACACGTACACCATCATTACCACTGGCAAATTACAACACAGCATTAACTACATTTTACCAAATGTAATGTTCTTTGGTCGCTACACATTCATCATCACCAATAAATAATATTACACTGTATTAATTATAACTTACCAATTGTAATTACTTTCAGTTATTGCACATACATCATAATCATCATCACCAAGAAATTACTACACTGTATTAATTTTAGTTTACTAATTGTAATTACCTTTAGTCATTACACATACATCATAATCATCATCACCAAGAAATTACTACACTGTATTAATTTTAGTTTACCAGTTGTAATTACTTTTAGTCACTGCACATACATCACAATCATCACCACCAATGAATTTCTATAATGTATTAATTTTTTGTTATAATTATTGTAAATTATGACACACATGGGATTAAGTAACTGAAGATTAAAATTTAAACCAGTGGGACGATTTATTGTGGAAAAAGGAAAAATAAGTTCAAATATCCTGTAACTACCTCTTACACTCAACCCTTTCTACCAAAGTAGAAACCTTCTAAATGGTTGAGTCCAGCACTTAAGGATTGTACAACAGAACAATAACCTCAATATATTCATTGTATACACTAGCCAAGTGTAACCTGTTATACCTGACATCCTCACAACAATTAAGTTATTTTTCTGATATTAAGTAAATAAAAATTTAATATCATCTATAAAACATACAATTTATCAGTACACTCTATGCTGAAAATCAACCAAGCTATATTATTGGTTCCATTGTTTACAGTATATTATTCTACCAAAATCAGCGAAACGACATTATTGGTTCCAATTTTGATAATATATGTTATTGAAAATCAATCAAGTTAAATTATTGATTCCACTGTTTGCAATATATTATTCTACTGAAAATCAATCAAACTACGTTATTATTTCCATTGTTGGTAACATATTCTATTGAAAAATTAGCCAAGTTACATTACTGATTCCACTGTTTACAGTATATTTTACTGAAAATCAATCAATCTACGTTATTAGTTCCACTGTTTACAGTATATTCTACTGAAAATCAACGAAACTACATTATTTGTTGCATTGGTTACAGTATTATCTATTGAAAATGAACCAAGCTACATTACTGGTTCCATTGTTGATAATATATTCTCCTGAAAATCAACCAATCTACATTATTGGTTCCATTGGTTATAATATATTATTCTACAGAAAATCAATCAAACTACATTAGTGGTTCCCTTTTTGATAATATATTCTACTGAAAGTCAACCAAACTACATTATTGGCTCCACTGTTTACAGTATATTATACTGAAAATCAACCAATCTACGTTATTGGTTCCATTGTTTACAGTATATTCTACTGA